TCCATAGTGACTATACCAGTTCAGATTCCCAACAGCAGTGTATGTGAGTTCCCTCTTCTCTACATCCTCTCCAACATTTCTTGTTTTTTATCTTGGTGCTTATAGCCATTCTAGTGAGTGTAAGCTGATATCTCCTTGTAGTTTTGATTTGCATTTCCCTAATGATTAGTGACGTTGAACATACTTTCATGTGCCTGTTGGTCATCTGTTTATATTCTTTGGAAAAATATCTGTTCATATCATCTGCCCAGGTTTTGATTTGGTTGTCTTTTTGTTTTTGCGTTGTATGAGTTTTTATATTTTGGAGATTAACCCCTTGTGGATATATGGTTTGCAAATATTTTCTTGCAGTTGGTGGGTTTTCTTTTGTTTTGTTCCTCATTTCCTTTGCCTTGCAGAAGCTGTTTAGTCTGATGTACTCACATTTGTTCATTTATTCTTTTGTTTCCCTTGCCTGAGTGGACACAGTATTTGAAAATGATGTCACAGTGTACTGCATATATTTTCTTCCAGGAGTTTTATGGTTTCATTTCTTAACTTGAAGTCTTTAATTTTGAGTAAATTTTTGTGTATGGAGAAAGATAATGGTCTACTTTCATTCTTTTGCATGTGGCTGTCCAGTTTTCCCAACACCATTTATTGAGGAGACTTTCTTTTGTCCATTGTACATTCTTGGCTCCTTTGTCAAAAATTAGCTGTCCACAGATGTCCAGTTTTTCTTTTCTTTTTTTTTTTTCCTTTTTCTCCCCAGAGCACCCCCCAGTACATAGTTCCATATTTTTAGTTGCATGTCCCTCCAGCTGTGGCACATGGGATGCTACCCCAGCATGGCCTGATGAGCGGCACCATGTCCACACCCAGGATCCGAACTGGTGACACCCTGGGTTGCTGAAGCAGTGTGTGTGAACTTAACCACTTGGGCACGGGGCCGGCCCTGATGTGCAGTTTTATTTCTGCTCTTTCAGTTCTGTTCCATTGATCTGTATATTTGTTTTTGTACCAGTACCATGCTGTTTTGATCTTTGTAGTATATTTTGAAGTCAGGGATTGCGATGCCTCCAGCTTTGCTCTTCTTCTCAGGATTATTTTAGCTATTTGTGGTCTTTTGTTGCCCCATGTGAATTTTAGCATTCTTCTATTTCTCTGAAGAATGTGATTGGGATTGCACTGAATCTGTAGATTGGAGTAATGTGAGCGTTTTAAATATGTTTATTCTTCTAATCCATTTTCATGGAATATCTTTCCATTTCTTTATGTCATCATCAATTTTTTTTTCTGTAATGTCCTACAGTTTTCATTGTGTGTGTCTTTCATCTCCATCGTTAAATTTATTCCTAGATAATTTCTTCTTTTTGTTGTGATTGTAAATGGGATTGTATTCTTGAGCTCTCTTTGTAAATTCATTATTACAGTATAGAAATGCAACTGATTCTTGTAAGGTGATTTTGTACCCTGAAACTTTGCTATGGTTGTTGATTATTTCTAATAGTTTTCTGATGGATTCTTTTGGGTTTTGTATATATAGAATCATGTGTGCAAACAGCAAGAGTTTCACTTCTTCACTCCCTATTTGAATTCCTTTTATTTCTTTTTCTTGCCTAATTGCTTTGGCTAAGATTTTCAATACTGTGTTGAATAAGAATGGTGAGAGTGGGCACCCTTGTCTTGTTCCTGTTCTCCAAGGGGTGGCTTTCAGTTTTTCCAATTGAGGATGATGTTGGCTGTGGGTTTGTCGCATATGGCCTTTATTATGTTGAGGTTCTTTCTTTGCATGCAGATTTTATTGAGAGTTTTTATCAGAAGTGGATGTTGGATCTTGTCAAATGCTTTCTCTGCATCCATTGAGATGATCATATGGTTTTTATTCCTCATTTTCTTAATCTGGTGTATCACAATGTGTGATTTCTGGATGTTGAAGCATTCTTGCATCCCTGGTATGAATCCCAGTTGATATGGTGTATGATCCTTTTAATGTATTGCTGTATTCTGTGTGGCAGTATTTTGCTGAGGAGTTTTGCATCTATGTTCGTCAGCAATATTGGCCTGTAATTTTCCTTCTTTGTGTGGTCCTTGTCTGGTTTTGGGATCAGGGTGCTGTTGATCTCATAGAATGAGTTAGGAAGTCTTCCATCATCTTCAGTTACTTGTAGTAGTTTGAGAAGGATAGGTTTGGTTTTTTTTTTTTAAACATTGGCACCTGAGCTAATATCTGTTGCCCATCTTCTTTTCTTTTTTTTTGTTCTACTTCTCTCCGAAGCCCCCCAGTACATGGTTGTATATTCTAGCTGTAGGTCCTTCTGGTTGTGGTCTGTGGGACACCAACTCAGCATGGCCTATGAGTGGTGCCATGTCTGCACCCAGGATCTGAACCAGTGAACCCTGGTCTGTGAAAGAGGAGCGCGTGAGATTAACCACTCAGCCATGGGGCTGGCCACAGAAGGATTGGTATTAAATCTTTGAACGTTTCCTGAGAAGCCATCTGGCCCTCGACTTTTATTTTATGAGAGCTTTTGATTACTGTTTCAGTCTCGTTACTTGGTGATTTGCCTATTTAGATTCTGTTTCTTCTTGATACAGTTTTTGGAAGTTGTGTGAGTCTAAGGATTCATCAGTTTCTTATAGGTTATCCAGTTTGTTGGCATACAGTTTTTCATAGTATACTTTCCTAATCCTTTGTATCTCTGTGGTATCCAATGCAATCTCTCCTCTTTCATTTCTAATTTTATTTATTTGAGCCTTGTCTTTTTTTCTTTTTGAGTCTGGCTAAGGATTTGTGAATTTTGTTTATCTTCTCCAAGAGCCAGCTCTTTGTTTTGTTGACCTTTTTTAAATCTCTATTTCATTTATTTCTGCTCTCATTTTTATTATTTCCCTGCTTCTGCTGACTTTGGGTTTTGTTTGTTCTTCTTTTTTCTAGTTCTGTTACATGTTGTTTAACATTGCTTATCTCTTCCCCATCTAAGTTGTCACAACTTAGTCCATTTTATGTTGTGAGTTTGTGATTAAAATGAAGTGATTATAGTTATTTTGTATGCTTTCCTTCCCTTCATCTTTAATGTTAAAATTGTTTGGTAACTTGTGATAGCTGCAGTTTTCTGATTTTGTCTATGTGTTTCCTTGCTCAAGGCTTTGTAAACTCTTTATTTTTCTGGTATGGAGGCCTTCTTGATTGTTTTTTGTAGGGGACACGTCTTGTGGTGATGAACTCCCCCAGGTTTGTGTATCTGGGAAAGTTTTTATTACTCCATCATATCCTAATCATAGTTTTGTTGGCTAGAGAATTCTTGGCTGAAAGTTTTTTGTCTTGCAGTATTTTGAATATATCATTCCACTCTCTCCTAGCCTGTAAGTTTTCTGCTGAGAAATGCACTAAAAGCCCCATAGGGATTCCTTGTAGGTTATTTTCTTCTGCCTTGCTTTCCTTAATGTTTTTTCTTTGTCATCGACTTTTGGTAGTTTTGCTAATAGATGCCTTGGAGAAAGTCCTTTTACATTGATGTAATTAGGAGTTCTGTTATTCTCATTTACGTGTAATTCCAACTTCTTCCCCAGGTTTGGGAAGTTCTCAGCTATTATTTCTTCGAACACACTGTCTTGCTCCTTTCTCCTTGTCTTCTCCCTTTGGAATACCAGTAATCCTTATGTTACATTTCCTAATTGAGGCAGATACTTCTCAGGGTATTTCTTCATTTCTTTTTAGCCTCAGTTATCTCCTGTCCTCCAACTGAATCGTTTGTATATTTCTGTCCTCTAAATTACTAATTCTCTGCTCCATTGTATCAGCTCTGTTTTTTTTAAGGATTCCAGATTTCTTTTTATTTCATTCATTGTGTACTTCGTCTCAAACGTTTCTGATTGATTTTTTTTTAATAGTTTCAATGTTTTTTGTCAAGAATTCCCTGTGCTCATTAATCTTTCCCTGAGTTTATTGAAATGTCTTTCTGGATTTTCTTGTAACTCATTGAGTTTGTTTATAACTATTTTGAATTCTTTGTCATTTAGATTGTAAATTTCTGTGTTTTCAGGATTGGTTTCTGGATAGTTGTCATTTTCGTTTTGGTCTGGAGTGCTTTATATTTCTTCATGCTGTTTGATGAGTGGGACTTCGGCCATTGCATAGTGTTAATATCTGCTTGCAGATTCCACCTACCACCACTTAGGGGGGCAGGAGCTGTGTTTTGTAAGCCTGCATCGACCCTTGGCAGTTTGGCCATCTGTTGGCAGCTGTGCTGATGGAGCCCTCTGCATCTGGTTGCTGTTGCTTCACAGATGTGAGTGCTGGGGCTCTGGCCTCAATCCCATACCCTTGTCAACTGACCGAGCTTATGCTCTAGGCAGGATGAGGGGGAAGGGGACACCTTCTTTGCTGCGTGCACTCCTCCTCTGTACTCACTGGCTGCCTGTCTGGGCTGCTCAGCTTGGTGAGGGTGCTCCTCTGGTTGCTTAGCCGCCTTGGTGTGGAACCTTCCTGCACAACTAGGTGTGAGGCAACTCTGAGAAGAAAAGCATTCCTGTGGAGGGCTGCCTTTTTCCTGTCTCCTCTAGAATCGTGTGCAGGCCACTGCATGAGGTCCTGCACCCTAGATTGCTGCCACTGGGCAGGGAGAGGCGATCTGCTCACCTCCTTCCACTGCTGCCCAGGTCATCTAGCACCTCCACCTTCAGATGTCTGGATTTGTGGATCTCTCCGATGTCTGTTGTGTTTTGTGGATGTCCTCTGTTGTTTAATGGATGTCCTTTTTGTTGTATCTTAGGGGCAGATTCTAAGAAAAAAGCTCACTCTGCCATCATGCTGATGTCACCCAACTACTGAATTTTTTACTGTACAGCCTTATCGTTGCTAAGTTTTTTACATAGCCAAACTCCTCAAATCTTTCTTGTGGATTTTCTTTTACTATGTTTAATTTCCTAATAATACAAATGAGTCTTATTGTTTTTAGCTCCTGTAACTTATATTTCTTTCTGCAAACTCCTACATTTGTTATTCTCATTTATTTTAGAATGGGAATTACAATTTAAGACCAAAGACTCAGCAATTCAGCTGGATAGTTTTGGGGGAGAAACATCAAATAGGATAGAAACGGTAAGTACAGTTAAGTTCGAAAGGAGATATTTCTTATTTCCCACATTCAGGAAAGATTGGGGATTTTCATTAGATAGAACATGAGTAAAAGTAATTTGTATTTGACATAAGTGGTATTTGCCTAAGTGAGAGCACTGTCTCTAGAGAGATATTCTGAATACCTAATGAATTTGGGAATATCTTATACCTCACTTGAAACTTATTGCTCCAGAATTCCCAGAAGGAATCATTCCCACTTACATAACTGGACGTGAAGTTTTTAAAACCATTTCATGAAACTGTATGGGAATCTTTTTTTGGTTCTTAATTGTGGAAGAGGAAGATTGTCCCTGAGCTAACATCTGTGCCGGTCTTCCTCTATTTTGTATATGGGATGCCACCATAGGATGGCTTGATGAGTGGTGTGTGGGTCCCAACTCAGGATGCAAACTTGTGAACCATGGGCTCCTGTGGCAGAAAGTGCAAACTTAACCACTATGCCCCCTGTCTGGCCCCCAGGAATTGTTTAATAGTAGAGTAGATGCTATATCATTCTGGCAGAAGGAGTCCATCATTCAAGTTGAAAGAAATGAGCAGGGTAGAAAGTATAAATGTAGTGGAAGTGATTAAAATCGCCATCACCATTATGATGTTTGTAGTTTCAGATGGATAGGATCAGTGAGTTAGTCTGAGAAATCTTTGAATCGTCATTCTTCCATTCATTAACAGGAAATTAACCACAATGGGCCGGAACTCTGTGATTGTGGGCCATGTGGAAAAGTCTTCAGTGAACATTCATGCCTTAAGACGCACAGGAGGATTCAGATTGGAGGGAACACTAATGACGGTAATCAGTATGGACAAAATTTTTTAACTTTGCACAAGAAAACTTCTACTGGAGAGAAACTTTCCATGTTTAATCAGTTGGGAAAAGGCATCAGCCCAACTCCAGATGTTGTGTACCAAAAAACCATGCAAGAGAAAAACTTCGAATGTGGTGACAGTGGGAAGGCCTTTGTTAATCATTCTTATGTTCAGGCCCAAATGAAAACGCAGAATGGAGAAAATCTCTATGAATGGAAGGAATGTGGGAGATCTTTTATTCACTCCACAAGCCTTGGTGTGCATGTACAAAGTAACACTGGTAACAGTCATCACGAATGTAAGGAATGTGGAAAATCTTTTAAGCAGTCCTCATACCTTAATGCTCACGTTCAAATTCACACTGCAATAAAACCCTTTAAACTTAAGGAATGTGGGAAAGCCTTTATTCAGTGTTTTGAACTTACTGAGCCTATAAAAACTGACATTGGAGAGAAGCCTTTTATATGTGACACATCTGGAAAAGCCTTTGATTCTTCCTCAAATCTTTCTAACCATTCTAGAAGTCACACTAGAGAGAAGCGTTTTCAGTGTATTGTTTGTGGGAACAGATTTACCACTTCTTCGTACTTAGTTATTCACACGCGAATTCACACTGGGGAGACACCCTACAAATGTAAGGAATGTGGAAAAGGCTTTAAACGTTCATCGCACCTTAGCGTTCACATGCGAACTCACACTGGAGAGAAACCCTATCAATGTAAAGACTGTGGGAAAACCTTCACTCATTATTCAAGCCTTATTTACCATGGAAAAACTCACACTGACGAGAAGTCTTTTAAATGTGATAAATGTGGAAAAGCCTTTGCTACTTCCTCATGTCTTAATAAACATTTTAGAATTCATAGACTGAAGTCTTTTGAGTGTAATGTGTGTGGGAAAAGATATTCCAGTTCTTCCTACTTTATCGTTCACAAGCGTATTCATACTGATGAGAAACCCTTCAAATGTAGGGAATGTGGAAAAGGCTTTAAACGTTCTTGGCACCTTAATGTTCACATGCGTATCCACAGTGGAGAGAAACCCTATGAATGTAAAGAATGTGGGAAAGCCTTCACTTACTGTCTAAGCCTTATTTACCATATAAAAACTCACACTGGAAAGAAGCCTTTTAAGTGTGACAAATGTGGAAAAGTGTTTGGTACTTCCTCATATCTTAACAAACATTTTAGAACTCATACAGGACCCAAGTCTTCTGAGTGAAATATAACTGGGAAAACATGTACCACTTGTTCATACTTTATCATTCACAAGCGTACTCACAATGGAGAGACACTGTATAAATGTAAAGAATATGGGCAAGTCTTTGCTCAATTCTCAGGCCTTACCATATGAAAACTCAGACTGCAGAGAAGCCTTTTCAGTGTGAGAAGTGTGAGAAAGTCTTTGTTCCTTCCTCAAAGCTTGTTAAACATTTAAGATCTCATGCTGGAGAGAAGCCATTTGACTGTAATATATGTAGGAAAAGATTTACCAATTCTTCATACATAGTTATTCACAAGAATATTCATACTGGAGAGAAACCCTGTGAATGTAAGGAATGTGGGAAAGCCCTCGGCAGTCGTCATTCACTTCAAAGACATGACAGGACCACACTGCAGACATGCCCTCCAATGTAAGGAATGAGGGGAAGCTGTCAGAATCTTCTCACAACCCAGCATGTAAGTACTCATAGTGAAGCCATCCTGTTAAGGAACTGGAAAGCCCTCTTTAATTGTTTCCTCAGTGAAATGTGTACTTTTTATATGTGAGAGAGCTTGTAGTAGAGAGAAATCTAACTGATGTAAGATATGTGGGAGAATTGTATTTCTACTGATGTTCACTTGTGATCTCGCCGTGGAGAGAAACTTCATGAGTGTAAGAAATGTTGTAGAGTCACAGTTATTTTCCATTAGATCGTTTCCTATCCTTAATAAACGTGATGTGGTTCAGTAAAAGAAACTGAATATAGGGGATATGGGAAGTGCTACCCTGAGTGTGAATCGTAGGGTCTTTTGAGATGCATAATGTGGTTCATTCTGTAGATCTAGTTAAAGCATTTGTGATTAGGCCCTGAGAATTCTTGTGCGTAGTGTGTCCTTCTTTCTGCTGATAGCTCAGTTTAGTGGCTACACCTTCCAGGTTGCAACCTAGTCAATAGAGAGTCTAGAGGATTCACATTCAATCCCCTTCTAACCACTTGGATTCTCTTGTTGGATTGATATGGTCTTACATTGTGATGACAGTGATTTCTTGATTGTTTGCAGTGCTCACTGAACTCATTTACAGCATGTCACTCTGCCCAAGGTGGTTGGTGAAATACATCTGTAAATTTTGTAAACTTACCTTGTCCCTCTCACAACGGATCTTTCAGATAAAAAGTCAGTGTCAAGCATGTGATGAAAGGTGAAAAAGTGACTTTACACCTACTAATGTTAGACATTCTGATTTCATGAGCTTTGTGGCTGAGCAACAACCTCACCCTCTAGGGAGGACTATTAACCCCTTGCCATACAGGAAGACAGTGAGAATAATGAATGTTCTCTTTTGCCCCTATACCTAGTACCACAGCCTTGGAAAACAATCATATCAGTTGTGTGAGTCAAGCAACAGTTGTCGCTGCTGGTATGACCTGCTACTTTCTTTGTCATTATGTCTGTGAACTGTGAAAACAGAAAACCTTATGTGAATGTAGCTGGTCCTGAGCTGCTGTGCTTGCTGCCCTCACTGGGACATCCTGAATGTGAACTTTGGGTGTAGACACATTGGCACAACATCATTTCAGCTTCAATGATACAAGTTCACGTAGTTTGGACCCTCAAGCAGCGTTGGGTTATGTCACATATGGCCATCAGGCATGCAACTGCTTGATGCCACTTTCTTGAGGCTTAGGCAAAACACTGTATGATAATCTAAATCAAGGGTAACCATAAATCTTGAAAAATTCTCTGTGCACCTTTGTGTTAACTGTTGTTGTGGAGTATATCATGTTGTCCCTCGCTTTTGGGCATATATGTTGTTATTTAGCCCATCTATTGTCTCTTCAATTATTGGCAACAACACCAAAGGTCAGCAGATCATTCTTAATCTTTTGTGTGTGCTGTGTCATAGATTGGCTTTAGATGACATCGTAATTGCCTGATATAAGACCTCAGGGTCCTACCAGAAATTGTCACAGTTGCTTGAATCTAGCACCTTGTGGGTAGTGTATGAGGTCCCTCCTGCAGATTGGTCTCATTCTGCTGTTTGCACTCCTAGTGACAGCATCCTCAATGAGTGTTGTGTGAGAGGAATGAGGAGATTTGGTGCTGGCTTTGGTTGGTCAGTGGATGACAAAGTGGCATATTTATGTGGGAAGACTCTGAAAGCCAAGATAATGTGAGCCATATACGCTCCAACACAGATGAGCCTTTAAAAACATTCTAAGTGCAAAGAAGCTGTTGATAAAAGATTGTATGGCTTCATTTATATGAAGTGTCTAGAAAATGTGAATCTCAGAGACAGAAAGGAATTTGTATTTGCCTGGATATTCAGAGACAATGGAAATGGGAGTCTGACAGCAAAGACTGCTTTTGAACTGATGAAGTGGTTCTAAAATTGTGATGGGTTAGGTAAGTTTGTGCATATAGTAAACATCATTGAGTTGTATAGATTTAAATGAATGAATTGTATGGTATGTGAATTATATCTCAGTAAAGCTGTTCCAAGAAATAGAAGATTGTTGTACTGCTTACACCATTGGAAATTATGAGCATATTAGATTTAATATCTGAGGCATCTGGAATTGTAGGATGCAGCCAACATTAGCTACCATTATACTTTTGCCACTAGATATTGAAAATATGAAACTTTTATAATCAAAGGGCGTGCTACAGGCATAAGTAAATATGTTACTGTAAAGGAGATTCTAGATATGAATACTGGTATGTATAGGAATTTTGTTGTTTAATAAATACGGAATTACAAAACAGTAGGTCAAGGATAGCTTAACAATAAGCACTAGTACCACAGTTGGCCTTTTGGAGGAAGAAAAATTGGATCCAGTACCCCCACCATATACAAGAATACACTGGATGAAGATTAAAGATTTAAATGTCTGTACAAGTAGTAAATTTAAGAAGCAAATTAGGAAATCTCCAAATACTGTAGGGTTTGAAGAGACGTTTTAAGGCAAGGCAGGAAATCCAGAAACTATTTTACAAAACAGACTTCCTTTGGGCACATAAACATTTAATATTTTGTACAGCAAGAGATGAAAGATTAACGTGGCAAAATAGTTATTACTTCAATAGTTGCATAAAATACATCTGACAGTGTCTATAAGCAATTCTTGATAAAATGCGTTAGTAAATCACGGTTTAAGAAGATCTTTATGAATTCCACTGTGCCCACCCACTGAAATCCACAGCAAAGATAGTTACTTGGGAAACTTTAAAACGCTTCCTAAGTGAACGATTTCTGGTATTGTTGCTGTTTCACAGCGTAGTATGGGAGGCCCTGGACCATATGGTAAAATCATAAAAAAGGAAACAGTTACTTTTAAAAGAAAAAATATTTATAGACAATTTTATATGAAAAGCACAAAGGAAGCAATGATTAGAGTATAGCATGGTGTCGAACAGAAATCAAACGAAATAAGGGGGAATAAAGACAAGGATGGGGTTAGTTGAATGGAGGAAATGGGCTTTCCGGGATTGGCAGGCACGTTACAGGAGAATCACCGTAAGCGCTCTAGGAGGGTGAGGTGAAGCAGGTGGAAAAGCTTTTTTTGATGCACATTCTCGCCTTCAACCACCACCCCCAGTGTAGGCCCCGTCTCGAGCCCTGGTTCTAGCCTCCATCTTGTCTCACGCTGTTTCTGCCTACAGCCCCGCACCGAGCAAACCGTGGTCCAACCCCACCCATGCAGTTGTTCAGTTGAATTTCTCAGTCTGAGGTGGTCTTTCTTGACTGGCAGCCTGAGCCGCAGAGCTCCGCCCCTTCCGTCCCCAGGCAGGAAGCGGAAGTTTGGTCGCTTGTTCATTGGGATTTTTGTCCTGCCTGCTCCTGGTATCTTGGAGACATATCTCTTGGTGGTGGTCCAGCCCAGCCCAACTTTGGGAAGGGCAGTGCGAAGTGGAGGATATGGGGGTTGAAGGAGGAGTGAAAGTGTGTTTGGTCCAGGTCGCCGAGGGCCTACTTAACAGAGTCCTGGCGTGTGACGCTCGCTCCCGCTGGGGCCCCGCGGCACATGTGGGCATTCATTGCTCACCAAGACCTGAGACACACTATATGGGCGCATGCCTGAGGTCTCTTCATCCACCGAGCTTCCCTCTTCAGAAGCCTCCAGAGCAACCTTTGTGACTTGTCTCCAGAAGGAAAGGAACCTACGCCATTGGAATGACGTTGACTCGGCCCCCGCATCCTCTGTCCTTGCGGATCTGGCAATTCTGGCCTATTCTGGGGAGCACTGGGGGAATGTTGGGGGAAGGGGGTCTGTGTTTCCTTTTGTATACAAAAGAATGTTTCATCTGGGAATTTGGTTGTCTTTGCATGTCCTTCCTTTATTTTTGACACATTATGTTCAGGTAGAAAGATACTTTCTTAGATGTGTATGATGTGCATATTTCTGTGAATAAATATAATTGGAGACAAAAGTCTTTTCTACTAAAACGAAACAAGAACACTTTCCTATGTCTGAACTTCCTAGGGTTATCCGTCTCCATAGGGCTTCAGAACAGCGGCCTCTAGGAGAAAAGGATGGAGACTTTATTACACTAGGTCTAGAATAATCGAAACTTGCCATCCACAGAATGTTTGGACTAAGTGCATTTTTTCCACATTCTTTTGAAAAATCTCAAACCTAAGAAAATTTGAACATGCAGTACAATATGCAGTCTGCTGTATACATTTAATATGAGCAATAAAACCCCAAGCACTTTGAGGTCCTTCTCTTTATGGGCAGGTATTTCTGATACGGTCTCTGCCAGAGGCACTGTCGGCCAACCTGCATGTGAACTTTGACCCCAGATCTCTGGTCTGAGAAGCTCCATTATTTAAAACTAATAATAACCCATTCACTTATTTTGCTGCGGTAAAATATAATGTGAAACTGGCTGTTTTAAGTGTGCCGTTCTGTGGCGTGTGCACTCACATTGTTGTGTGACCATCACCACCATCCAGCTCCAGAACTTTTTCATCTTCCCAAACTGCAACTCCACCCGTTAAACTCCAACTCCCCATTTCCTCATCTTCTCAGTCCCTGGGAATGTCTGTGCTCCCTGCTCTAAGCTCCTCATTTAAGCCGAGCATACTGTATTTGACTTTTTGTGTCTGGCTTATTTCATTCAGCATCGCGTCTTCAAAGTTCATCCATGTTGCAGCATGTGTCAGAATTTCCTGCCTTTTCAAGGTGGAATAACACTCCATTGTACATATGTGCCACATTCATGTGTCAGTGGACACTCGGGTTCCCACGTTTTGGCTCTTGTGACTAATGCTGCTCTGAACCTGGCTGTGCAAACGTGTATTCAAGGCCCTGCGTTCAATTCTGTTGGGTGTACACGCACAGAAGTGAATGCTTGATCGTATGGCAATTCTGTGTGTATCTTATTGATTTATTAGTCCTGTCATTTCTTGGCAGGTATTGTATTCCTAGATATATTTGAACATTCACAAAAAACGGTTTTACTTTAAATTGTGGTAAAGAACACTTAAGAGTTACCATTTTAACTATTTTAAGTGTACAGTTCAGTAGTGTTAAGTATATGCACTTTGTTGTGCAACAGATCTCCAGAACTTTCTCAGCTTTCAAAAGTATAACTATGTATCCGATCAACAATCTCCATTCTCCTCTCCTCCAGGCCCTGGTAACCTCCATTCTACTTTTTGTCCCTATGAATCTGGTTAATCTAGGGACCTCACAGAAATTAAATGATGCAGCTTTTTTTTTTTTTTTTTTTTTTTGTTAAAGGGTTTTTTTGAGATGCACCGAAAGTCCCAGGTTTGGGTATTTAAATGTAGTGATAGCAATCATAGCACCAACGCATTTTTAACTCCTTTAATTTTTTACCCCCCTTTGCTCCTAGATTGATACTTAAAAGGGAAGCATCCTCTGGAGGACGCTGCAAGGTGTCAAGCGACCTAGGATATAGTTCCAGTGACCCCTTTATTTAATCTGCTGGGCAAACAAGGCACGTCCTTGTTCGGCCTGTGCCTACCTCCTCATCCATAAAGTGCGAAGAATAAATGTCTTTTCCTCGGTGGGAGGAGGAGGCCTTTCTCAGCACTTTCACAGCAGGAACCCAGCCTGGGACCGCCATCAGCCCTGGCTCCACCCCGCCCCTGGGACTTGTCCCCGCCCCTCCATCGCAGTTCCAGCCGCGGACGCGCGCGGGGTTTTCTGGCTGAGGAGGATCACGGTTCCCTTCCCTCCTTCCTCGGTCGCTCCTCCCCGCCCTGTGTTCTTGGAGCCCCTCCCCTCGCTCCCCCACCTTCCGACCAGAAACGGAAGTGTCGGCACTGTGCTGGCTGCCTTCCCTTGGCTACTCCTTCTCTGTCTGTTCCGGAGGTCCCGGGCTCGGCTGAGCCTCGTGGACCGGGAGGACGGGCGGGGTCAAAGGCCGGCCACCAGTGGTCCGCGTGGACACCAGGCAGCTGCACAGCCGCCGACCATCTTCATGTCTGGCCGGGCTCCGCGCCTCCCTCTGTGGCCTCTGTCCTGGCGGCTCCCTGCCCGGGGCCTCCTCCCGCCGCTGCGTCTGCTCTGCGATCCCGGCCCGCCCTCTGCTCGGGGCCGCGGCCGCTCCCGAAGCGGCAGGGACTGGGGGGGGTGGTGGGGGGTGGCGGGGAGCCCTGGAGCTCTGTCCCGGTGAGGAGGATGGGGAGGTGCGGTCGGGGAGCCTTTTCTTCCGCTGCGCCCCGCTTTGCAGAAAGCCTCGTAAGCAGCCTTTGTTGTCCCGTCTCCAGAGGACAGCGTCTCAGTCCCTCGTGGGCCTGGGCATCCCGGCGGTGTGGGCGAGCTCAGGTGAATATGGGCCGGTTGTGGGCGTCACTTCTTTCTTTGGTTCATCATATTCAGATGGGAAGATAAGAAGCATTCACACGAGTACTGAGGAGGACAGGTATCTGATACCCTTGCATGCGAGAGTGAGGGAATACCCACAAATACGAAACTTCCTACCGCGAAAAGCCGGGGTGCCTGGCTGCACCTGACCCCGCCTGAGCTCCAGAGCCGGGTCAGCCTCCCGGAGCTTCAACATACAGGAGCGTTTGGGGAAAAAGATGTAAGCTGCTTTCTGTTCGTTCCAGCGCTTGGAATTGAATTTACTCTTATTTAGGAAGAGTAATTAGTAAGCAGGGGGCTGAGGCTTGACACTATGGGAATATCCTGTATCCTGACATTTTTGATATTTTCCTGGATGACATATTATATTGAGTGTTGCCAAATGGTGATTTTCTGGTTCATTCATCCTTTAGCTGGCAGTTCCTTCTCTTTTACTTTCTGTTCTACCTTGCATGAGGCTCTTCCATTAATGTATCTTTCCCTGTGGACAGGGCATCCCCTGTTCAAAGCGTGTCTAATCTCATGGTTGGAACAAGAAGAATTGAGGACGGTAGAGACAGGTGTTCTCCACGGTGAAAGTTTGCAAAATAAAACCACAGTCAGTGAGAAGTTCAGTATGGTTGGAAGTAAAATCAGGAAAAATTTTAAGATGCACTCTTTTCTCAGAAGGCTGAGGCCATTGGTCTCTGATGTTGCGGGGTATCTTCAACTTCCCTTACTCTTATTTTAAATTTCCTCACACTTTCCAATGATCACAAATTGTCCTAGGTTTTTTTCTGTTTTAAATTTATCATTTTGATGTTAGTGCATTGTTGAGATCTTTCATATTTATTTCCCTGATATTTTCTCTTTCTGTTCATCACTTTTAATTTTTGTATAATCATTTTCTAATAAAAACTACTTAAAATTTTGACCCCTTGTCCTTATCATTGCTAAATTTTTGATATAACCATAATGTTTAAATCAATCTTTCCTTTTTTTCCTATATCTAATTTGTAAAGTAATACAGATGAGCCTGATATTTTTGGACTTCTTTAACCTAACATTTCTTTCTAAACTCTCAAATTTGTTTATTTGTTTTATCACAGAATGAGATTTGGGACTTAAAATGAAAGAATGAGCACTTCAGGAGGATATCATAGCAGGGGAGAACAGCCTCCCAAATAGGATACAAATAGGAAGATGGATCAATGATATCTCTTGTTTTACACATTCAGAAAAGATTGAGAATTAGATAGAAGATAAGTGGAAACCAGAGATATTTGGAACAGGTGGCATAGCCCAAGACAGTGATGCTTCTGGGGAGATAGATGGAATATGATGAATTTGGGGATATCCTAGACCTAGCTTGAAACTTGGTGCTTCAAGTTTCCCACAAGTATACAATCACATATATCTGAAGATGTTGAGTTTAAAAACAGTTTTATAGAACACTACAGGAACCATTTTAAAATCATAGTAGATGGGATAGCATTCTCCCAGAAGGGTTTCGTCATTCAATTTGAGGAAATCAACAGGGCAGTTTTGTATGCTTGTAACGAAAATGGTAAAAATCATAAATATTGTAATAATGTTTCTGTTTTGAGATCTGTATAATCTATTAAGGAGTCTGAAGATTCCTTTAGTCGTCATTCATCCCTTCCTCAACAGGAAACAATCCAAAATGGAGGGAAACTCTATGAGTGTAAATAATGTGAAAAGTCTTCAGTGAGCACTCATGTCTTAAGACACACAAGAGTATTCAAAATAGAGGGAACACTTGTGATGAGAATCATTATGGAAAGGCTTTCTGACTCTGCCCAAGAAAACCTATACCAGTGAGAAACATTCCAATCTTAAGCAGTCCAGAAAAGCCATCAGTCTGACTCCGAATACTGTGTGCCAGGTGATGTGCATACAAGAGAAAACTTTGATGCGGTGACTGTGGGAATGCCTTTGTTAATCACTCATACCTTAAATCTCATGTGAGAATTGACAATGGAGAAAACCCTATGAATGGAAGGAATATGGGAGACTCTCTGTTCACTTCACAAGCTTCAATGTGCATATACAAACGCACACCACAAAAAAGTTCCTATGAGAACAGAGAATGTGGAAAAGCTTTAGGTATTCTGCCTAGCTGAATATTTATATATGATCCCACACGGGAGAGAAGTCCTTTGTTTGTAAGGTATGTGGGGAAGCATGTACATGCTCCTCATGCCTTAATGTGCGCTTGTAGACTCACAGAGCCAAAAAACCGTATTAGGGTAAGGAATGCAACAAGACCTTTTACTTTTCCACAAAACTTAATGTGCCCGTGTGAAGCCACACTGATGAGAAACCCTATGAATGTAAGCAATGTGGGAAAAATTTCACTGTTTCCTCACACCTAACTCAACACGTAAGAATTTGTAGTGGAGAGAAACTCAATAAAGGTAAAGAATGTGGCAAAGTTTTCACTAGTTCTCAACTTTCAGAATGTATAAAAAAACAGTGGAGAGAAGGCTTTTGAGTGTAAGCAATGTGGAAAAACCTTCCCTCAATCCTCAAAGCTTTCTGGACATTAGAGAACTCATACTGGCGAGATGCCCGTTGATTGTAAGCCATTTAGGAAAGCAGTTATGTATTCCT